CAAGGGTTAAGATGCAACCTGTGAAGCTGTCTGCAGCCTCTGCAGCAAGAGTTCAATCCCCTGGCCAAGGAGCAACCCACATGGCGCAGCAGACCTCTCCTGGCTTGCCTGCTGCTCCCCTCAGCAGTGTATTTCAGTCGATCTGCCTGTGCTGTCCCTCACTCTGTCTCTGGTGAATCCTCTCACCCCTCACACCTCTGGCCTGTATCCCAGCTCTTGTATGCATAAATAAATAAATCTTTTTTTAAAAAAAAAAAAAAAAGAAGGCAATGGCAGTAGATATTTAAATTATTCAAAGAAAAAGATTTCCAGTCTCTATCCTTTACCTGCAAGATTATCATTCAAGACAGAAGAATAAGGAGCTTCACTGAAAAGCAAAAACTGAAAGAATTTATCAATCCCAAATTGGATGGAAGTACTAAAGTTGGAAAGAAGTACTAAAGGGGCTAGTATAAATAGCAAAAACAAAAACAAATATAGAGGTAACAGATACCAAAATTAAAAAATATGAAGAAGGAGCAGAGTAAAAACTTGGCCCATCCAAATAAGACTGTGATCAGACCATCCAACAGGCCGCATAAATAGTCCATCATATACTAACCTCGGCAGAACCTTCAGGCAAAAATTGATAGAAGTAACACATAAGACAATGGAAATGGAACCTAAACAAAACATAATAGGAAGATGATGTCAATAAGTGAAAAGACAAACTAAAAAAAAAATTTAATAGTGAAATGGCAAGAAGCACTTATGTCTCAGTAACCACCTGAAATGTAAATGACTTGAATTTACCAGTGAAAAGGTACAGGGTGATTGAGTGAATTTCAAAATGAAGTCCTACCTTCTGCCATTTACAGGGAACTCATCAACAAAGACAAGCACAAACTTAAAGACTGAAAGACCAATCCTGTGAGCAAATGGAAATCAAAAAAAGTCAAAAACTGCTTTACTTATGTCAGATAAAATAGATTTCCAATTAAAAAAGGTAATAAGGGATAGAGATGAACATTACATTATAATTCAGGGCCTAATCCAACAACAAGAAAAAACATATGCATCAAATGATGGAGCACCAGGATGTATAAGGTGATTACTAATGGAACTACAGAGAGATTTACAACACAATAATAATAGAGTTTTAATTCTCCACTTACAAATATGACCAGATCAGTAAGATAGAAGATACATAAGGAAACGGTAACCTTAAATGAGTACCTAAACCAAACAGGCTTAGTAGAGATCTGAAGAACACTCTACTTCCAAACAATTGGGATAAACATATACATTTTTAAGTGTACATGGAACATTTGCAAGAATAGACTATATGTGTATACACAAATCAATTGTCAATAAAACTATGAAGATTGAAATCATGCCAAATATTCTTTCTGATCATAATGCCATAAAGCTAGAAACAACTATTTTTCAAAAAATGAACAGAAGAAACCATAAATGTTTGGTTTCTTGTGCTGCTTAATAGCTATTGGATTAAAGGGGAAATTAAAACATACGTAAAAGAATACCTCAGTAATGAATACGAGGAGACAAACTACCAGAGTGTATGGGATACAACAGGGTCTTAAGAGGGAAACTAATTCAATACAAACTCAATTGGGAAGGAAGAAAAATCCCAAATAAACAATTTCGTAATATATTTGTACACCTTGCAAAAAAAGAGGCACAAGCAAGACCAGAATTTAATAGAAGGAAGGAAATAATAAAATTTAGATGGAAATAAATGAAGTTGAGATTAAAAACAAAGGAGTGGGAGGGATATCCATCTTAAACAATAACAATAATTTGTAGCACCACTGTTTGTTCATAACTGCTAAAAATAAAAACAAAACACATTATCTCCAAGTTGCAGTGGTCAGGAAACCAGACATGGCTTAGCTGTGTCCTGTGCTTCAGGATCTCATGAGGCTGCAGTGTAGGTACTGACAGGGCTCAGGGTTCTCATCTGAAGGTTCAGTTGGAAAAGGATCCTCTTCCAAATTCGTGTGGCTCTTGGCAGAATTCAGTTCCCCATGAGCTTTTGGACTGTGTGCCTGAGCTCCTTATTAGATGTTGCACAAGGACACTCTTAATTTGCTGCCATGTAGGCCTCAACAACCTGGCAGCTTGCATCATCAAAGTCAGCAAAAGAAACTGCCTAAAGATGAAAATCATAATTTCTTGTAACCTAATTATGGAAATACTATCCCATCACATTTGCTACTTTCTGTTATTAAAAGTAAGTCACTAGGGATAGCCCTTTCTCAAAGGGAGAGGCTTATACAAGGGTATCAATACAGTAGAGGGGATCATTGGGTGGAATTTAAAGAAGGTATCTGCCACATACCCTGATGTATTTGTATTTATGATATATTAGGCACTGTTCTAAGCCTCCCTCATAAAGCTTCCGTGGCAGAGAGGGTGATAAAATGAAAAAAAAAAAAAAGTAAAATGTATGCTATATCTTCTGGTTTGACTGCCATTGAAAAGTAGAGAGCGCTATTGTAGTTGTTAATTCCCACTTGAAATCTGGAAAATGTCATTTTAAACACAGGACTAGGAAGTTCTCATGGCTATCCCAATGTATTGATTCCCAGTTGTTCCCTCACTTGTTACTCCACTCCCACCTTATGCTACCAGCCATGCTAATGGATTGTAGGCAGATGGAAGCAGAAAGATATTACCATGGGCATGCAGCAGAGAATAGTGGCTGGAAGCATGGGTTCTGGAACTAGTGTGTCAGTGTTTAAATCCTAAGAGTGTGATTGTGGCCAAGTTGTGCCTTACTTTTCTCATTTGTAAGATGAGGATAATGATGGTACTTGGCTCATAGGTTTTTGTCAGTTAATACCTGTTAAAGCACCTAGAATAGTTCTGCACAAAGATACTAAGTTACTAAAATATTACGAAAAAGAGAAAGCAAATTTAACAGTTATAAGGACACTAAAGACAGAATTACCAATACAATCCCATTAAAGACCCATTCTGTACTGTCAAATTACTAGCAAGGATGTAAAGCTATGGTACTTTATTTAAAAATAAACAAAGACAGTCTGAGGTATTAAAAGAAGGGGAATAAATAAACCTGAGTCTTCATGAAAGTAAATATACTACAGGCTAAGAAATCACAAATATCAGAGGTTTTTAAAAAACTATTTGGAAGATATCAGCAATTTATAATTATTCTATACCAAAGGGAGTATTATGGATAAATCAGTAACACCTTCCATAAACCGATCTCACTTATGCCCATGTCAATGAATTTAATTTATTCAGAAAGACTTCGGTGTTTGTTTCTTTTCTTTTGCATAACCATGGTTTACAACATACAGTACGATTCAGAAGTATAAAAATCACACCTCTTCAGATGTATGTTACCCTACCATCACCACCACCAAGATACCCACAGTCCTCCACCATAATCCATTGGGTACCCTCTACACTTGGCTCTCCATCATCCTCCTGGTATACCACCCCAATTCCACAGTCAAATTTCTTGGGTTTGTCATTGGTTTTCTTTTGTCTGACCCTTTGTTTCTCTATATTCAACTTTAAGTGAAACCATCCAATATTTTGTCTTTTTTTTTTTTTTTTTTACTTGTTTTGCTTAGCATTATCCTCTTTGTTTTAGAAAGTCTCTGGGTCATCCTATTTCTCAGGTGTCAATCTGGACATTTCATTTGCTACTTCTAGTTTCCATTTGTGTGAAAGGTTTGCATCTCTTCACAGGTTTCTCTTGCCCTACTTAAAATATAATGAAACCTCTTCAGGGTACTTTGCTAAATTAAGAAAAAGGGCTTAAATATAAACACTTATGTTTATTTTAAAAATATTATTTAAAGACAAATAGTAAGAGATAAATTAAGTGAACAATTGATCTGTGGAAAATAACCTGGACTTCTCTTACAGAATCTCTTTCTGTATTAGAAGTCATGGTTGTGATGGTGGTGGTAGTCCTTGCCATCCCAGTATTAGAGCAGCAACATCAATAGTATTGTTCCTGTGGAATCCAGCTACTTCTGTATTCTAGGAGAACCAGGAGTGGCAGAATATAAACTAAATCACAAGGACTTAGGGATAAGTAGGTGATGAGAAAGCAGTGGCAGCAAGTCAGGACTACTCTTTCTAGAATCCAAGGAAAGGAGAAATAACAGCTTGAGAGGTTTTTTTGTTTGTTTACTAGTATGGGGAGACCTGAGTTTATTTGTGAGTTTAAGAAGCCTGAGAAGGGCCTCCCTGGTGGTGCAGCGGTTGAGCGCTGGGTTGCGAAGCTGCCCACAGCCTCGGCAGCACCAGTTCTATCCCTGGCTGCTCCCGGCCACCGGAGGAGGGTCCCACATGGTGCGCAGACCTCTCCTGCCCCCGCTGCTCCCCTCAGCAGTGTACTTTGGTCCTTCTGCCTGCTCTGCTCCCTGCTCTGGCTCTGGTGAATCCTCTCACCCTCCTGCGCTTCTGACTGTACCCAGTGCTTGTATAAATAAATAAAAAAAATTAATCTTTAAAAAAAAAAAAAGAAGTCTGAGAAGAGGGATTAAACAAAGTTGCAACAAAGAGGCAGTAATTAGGAGTAAAAAGTCCTAGTGGAGTGGGAAGAGTGTGGGAGAGCACACACATACAATGGCTTGAATTACTGGTTTTATTTCCTTTCAGTTTTCTGTTAAAGCTCCCAGGTTATGCTAGTGGACAGCCAGGCTGGAGCCCCCTCGCCTCACCTGACTAAGCCAAGGGCGCTGCACTGCCTGCTGTCCTCCTCTTGATTTCTTGACCTTGACTTTAGGAAATTTCTCCAGAACAACTCAGCAAGTAGGACCTGCTTCTCTAAGTGTGATGACCTTGGTTTGCTGGGCTTTGGTGAAAAATAGCCCATCTAACGCTTGCTCTGCTAATGTTCTTTGGCTTTAGCTATTCCTTTCTCCTTTAAGAGCTTACTGTTCAATCACAGGAATAGAGTGATTGACCAAATAGGGTTGAGAAGAAGCTTGATAAATGTTTTTTTTTTTTTCCAGAGTTGAAGAAAGTTCCAAACAATATCCCTCCAGATATTGTTAAACTTGACATGTCATACAATAAAATCAAGCAACTTCGACCCAAGGAGTTTGAAGATGTTCACGAGCTAAAGAAATTAAACCTCAGCAGCAATGGCATTGAATTCATAGATCCTGGTAAGTTTCACAGAATAGCCATTTAAAAAGGTGACAGGTGTTCTCTGATTTTTTTTCTTAATGGCAACATTTATACTAAACACAATTGTTTTTTTAAGAACCTCAATAATGAAACATTTGATTTTAAAGTAAACAGGAAGCTTAAATTAGAACTTGTTTGACAGTTGGAGAAAGGTTTGCATTATGTCGCTTTACAATGTATGTTACTACACATTGCTAAGCAACAGTTATTCGGTTGGTTAAAAGTGTTTTTGTTTTTTTTTTTTAAAGAAATGTTCTTTTTTTTTTTTTAAAGATTTAGTTATTTATTTATACAAGCACTGGGTACAGCCAGAAGCGCGGGAGGGTGAGAGAATTCACCAGAGCCAGAGCAGAGAGCAGAACAGGCAGACTGACGAAGTACACTGCTGAGGGGAGCAGCAGGCAGCAGGAGAGGTCTGCGCGCCATGTGGGACCCTCGACTGGTGGCCGTGGATTGAACTGGTGCTGCAGAGGCTGTGGGCAGGTTTGCAACCCAGCGCTCAACCGCTGCGCCACCAGGGAGGCCCGGTTAAAAGTGTTTTGTAAAATAGATTTAAAAAATAAGATGCTAAATATGTAGTGATTTTAAAAGAGAAATTCAGATTTGACATTTTCTTTGCTATTCATTCATTCCCAGCATTTAAAGTAAAACTTTTAATAACTTTTAAAAAACAAATTTATAACAATCTAAGCACCAAGCTTATAAATTAAGATAAAATAATAATTAAGGTAAAATGTATTCAAATCAGAGCCAGACATATTTTATCTAAGATGATTATCAATTTTTTTTCCATCCTTCAAACCTCCATTTGCTAAACAAAATCTCTGGCAAAAAATAAAGCATGGTGGGCCTCCCCTGGTGGCGCAGCAGTTGAGCGCTGGGCTGCGAAGCTGCCCACAGCCTCTGCAGTGCTGGTTCAATCCCCAGCCGCCAGTAAGGGTCCCACATGGCGCGCAGACCTCTCCTGCCACGACCGCTGCTCCCCTCAGCAGTGTATTTCGTCAGGCTGCCTGTTCTGTTCCCCGCTCTGGCTCTGGTGAATTCTCTCACCCTCCCATGCTTCTGACTATACCCAGTGCTTGTATAAATAAATACATAAATCTTTTTAAAAAATAAATAATAAATAAAGCATGGTAAGTTAACTAACGCATTGGATTTGGAAAGAACTTAGAGTTATTGCAATGTTGATCAGATTTATAACAAACAGAATATATGTGTTTTCACAATGTTATTTCAATTTGAAAAGTCCTAACTATGAAAATGATTCTTAGTACTATTAATAATGCAGTATTGATGTCATGAACATTTTAGTATAATTGTTTCTTCTACTTTTCTTGATGGCAATGTAATAACACTTATACAACATTAGAATTTTAACACTGTAGAAGTGAAAATAGCAAATGAAAGTTCTAAAGCCACAAAAACATGTTTTTGTATTAAACATCTTTTAGATATATTGTCATAATTCAAAAAATATCCCAAAGGGAATAGCAATATGCCACATTTACACCACATACACCTTAACCTATACAGATAGTGTAAACTTGGGAGTACTTTTAAATTGTGAGAGCCAAAACAATTTTTACTTCACAGTGAGTAAGAGTTAAGAGTTAAGAGCTGAGATAGAGCTTTCTCCCCAATAAAGCAATCATTACATTACAGTGCAGGTTAGTCACTGGGACAGTCTCCATAAAGCCAGGCACACACGGATGAAGAATCTAGAGGGGGAAACCCTCTCTTGCTCCATGAAAACCAAAGAGCTGCAGAACAGCCATGTTGTGTTGCAGGTTCCTTGGGCAAGTGTCTAATATCCTTCTGATGCTGTAATTTAAAACCTTAGTTTAGCACCTATCAAGCATCAGTGCAAACAACTTTTAAAGCTATCTCTTAAATGTTATTATGTGATCTAAGTCTATTAAAGTAGTAATTAATAGTGCAGCAATGTTTTATTTTATTTATAATAAGAAAACAAGAAAAGTGAGAGAATACAATGCAGAGATAGATAGTAGCACAAAATAGGTTATTTTATTATGATATTTTCCCTTTATCACTTGTAAAATTCCCATAATTAAGGGATTCCTTTTCCATCCTTGGGATCTCCTGAAGGGTTTCTTATCTTGTTTACCCAATGTGTTTTCCTTGCTGACATGTAATGTGAACTCTAATGTGCTGTATATTCTTTTTTCTTTTTTTATTCATTTCACACCCAAGAAAGTGCTTTCTGCATTCATAAATATATATTGAGCACCTAACAAATGTTAACTGCATTTTTGGTATGTCTTCTAGAAAGAAAAATTATCTAAGCTCTTAAAAAAGTCAAAATGACTTAAAGACGTTTTGAAATAAAAGACCTTCTAGGTTTCAGGCCCTTGAGATGAAACACTGCTTACATAGACTTACTTTAATGACTCATGCTGTTAGGAATACAAATGCAGTGAGAGTCCTCCATCTTTAAAAAGTTTTTAACAATCCAGAATGGCAGACATTATTGCAAAAGAGGAAAAGATGACAGTCTGTTAGCAGTTTTACCTTCATTAAAAAACTAATGAGGGCCTCCCTGGTGGCACAGGTGGTTGAGCGCCACACTGTGAAGCTGTCTGCAGCCTCTGCAGTGCAGGTTTGATCCCTGCTGGCTGGGGAGAAACCCACATGGTGAGGCAGACCTCTCCTGTCTCGCCCGCTGCTCCCCTCAGCAGTGTATTTCATCAGTCTGCCTGTTCTGTTCCCCACTCTGTCTCTGGTTAATCCTATCACCCTCCCATGCATCTGGCCTGTACCTCGGTTCTTGTATAAATAAATAAAATCTTTAAAAAAGAAAAAAAACTAATGAAGTGAGCTTTCCCAAGTGTCTGACTACATATGGCTTAAGTAACAACTGTAATATTTTCAAAATAAAACCTAAGAATGTTTACATATGCTTTCAATTTGGAGGACTGACTTAAGGAAAGTAAATTGTGAGATCATTGACTCCTCGAATGTTAGCAAATAGGAAGAAAAAAATATATAGTGTCTTAAGAATTATCACTACAAGGCCTGGCAAAGCTTTTGCTCCTCCCCAGCTGCCTGCTCCCCCAAGCCAGTGCTTTGCACCAACATGGAAAGAATTCTCAGACAAAATCTGAGAACAAATGATATGAAAATGGTCAGTGGTATTTGTATTTGAGTTTTTCCTAACTCAAAATAAGGACACTGTGTGTTCTAACAAGAGTATTTTTAAAAAGTGATGAGAAAATATTTGAAATAGGAAAAAATATATTTGAAATCAGGATTTACCTGAGTATCTGGTCAGTACACATCAACTGACAAAGGGATAATTTAAGATTTAGCTTTCTTTACTCTTGGAGGAAAAAAGCTTTTTCTTATTTTCTGTTATGTATTTGATATTTATTTTAATTATCCACCCTCCAGCAAAATGAAATACATATGGATTCAAAGCTGATAACTACCATAGCCTGCCAAAACTATACAGATGTTTTCAAAAATATGATAAAAATATTTTGGTTTTAGACTCTACTAGAATATAATTCCCTTTCCTTACACTGGGAAAAGGCTGTTTTCTAGGCATTTTTAGAGTTTACTGATATCCAGACAGCTGTCAAATCATCATCAGACACATTTATCATTTTTTTATGCACTTGTGTCTTATATTCGAAATATTTTTGCTGATTTGTGACTTTTTGTGTGGCATTTTTCCAGTACAAAAAATGTATATGAGTTACATATGCATTTTTTAAAGGCAAACTTAAAACCAATCTTTTAAATAAAATATTATAGTCAGTTTAATCAATGGAAAACTTTGAGTAAAAACATTTCAGAATTGAACATTTGGACACATATACTATTAGGGGAATATAGTTAAAACTAAAATCTTATGGAGAAATCCTCTCCACAAAGGTAGTAGTGATAAAGAAAACACTTCTGTAATTGAATAAGCATTAAAGCAGTGTGCAGTACACATCACAGGCAATCTGTAACTGCTAAACAGAAAGAAATCTCTCTCTTATATTACCACCCATATCCAATCCAATACATGCATGTTTTCAGGATAACTAATAACTAGTCCTTAAGTAAGAGAACTTGACAGCACAATGTGTCCTGCATTGTTGATCTTAGTAGTTCAAGGTGGTCATCCATATTTGCTATCTGGCTTTATCCAGAAGAAAACAAACTTCCCCTCTTTTTGTGGGAACAGATAGTTTTGCAACTTGGAGCAAGGCTCCTTACCCTCCCACAGACACTGGGAGATAGAGGTGCTATCTCCTTGATGTTTACATTTCTTTTTTTTTTTTTTTAAGATTTATTTTATTTATTTATACAAGCACTGGGTACAGTCAGAAGCACGGGAGGGTGAGAGAATTCACCAGAGCCAGAGCGGGGAGCAGAGCAGGCAGAAGGACCGAAGTACACTGCTGAGGGGAGCAGCGGGCGGCAGGAGAGGTCTGCGCGCCATGTGGGACCCTCCTCCGGTGACCGGTTTGCAGCCGGGGATCGAACCAGCGCTGCAGAGGCAGCGGGCAGCTTCGCAACCCAGCGTTCAACCGCTGCGCCACCGGGGAGGCCCTGTTTACATTTCTTTAAGATGGTTCCCAGGTGCTTCCTGGCTTATAAATCTGACAAAAGGCCTATTTAGTCTTCGAAGGAATTATGTATACATTTCAAATTTTTAAAGTACCCTGAGAAAAAAGAGTCAGAAATTGTTTCAATTATTTTCAACAGGGAGAATGAAGTCTCTTCCTTTAAATTTATATCTGTTCTTATAAAACATTGTAGATTGTATTTAACACAATTACTCGTTGGTTTAATGAATACTTTTTGTTTCTAGCTGCTTTTTCAGGGCTCACACATTTAGAAGAGTTAGATTTATCAAACAACAACCTACAAAATTTTGACTACGGAGTATTAGAAGACTTGTATTTTTTGAAACTCTTGTGGCTCAAAGATAACCCTTGGAGATGTGACTACAACATCCACTACCTCTACTACTGGTTAAAGCACCACTACAATGTCCACTACAATGGCCTGGAGTGCAAAATGCCTGAAGAATACAAAGGGTGGTCTGTGGGGAAGTATGTTCGGAGTTACTATGAAGAATGCCCCAAAGACAAATTACCGGCATACCCTGAAACATTTGACCAGGAAACAGAAGATGATGAATGGGAAAAAATACATAGGGAAAGCACAGCAAAGAAGCAAAGTGTAAGAATCACTATAATAGGGTAGCTTAGAAATGGTCACATCTAGTTTTGTATTGTTATACTAGTATCAGAAAATTGTATGTTTCCATTTTAATTACCTATGTTGCCTATTTATACAGGGCTATCCAGCTACATGAAGTTTCCTTTAATTATTTTAATATTTTTATTGTGACAATTATAGTAATCAGGGGAATACTCTCATCCTGCCTGCCTGGTTGCAGATCAGCCTTTGGTGACAATTCTACACCAGGTAACTAGCAGGCGTCTGAATCCTCACGATGGCATTAGAGTTTCTGTAATGTCCTGTATAAATATTTTTACTTTTGGAAAATAATAAAAAAAAACTTGTTTCATTTTACATGCTTTTAAATAGCTTCTTCTATATACTTAAAGATGGTCAAAGTGCAAAGATACAAATGCTTAGTTATAATAAAATGTCATTCTCTCCACTTGGCCCCTACCCTGCTTTTTTTTTTTCTTGTTCATTAAATAAGTTTATACATTGAATAAATTTCCATTTCTGATTCCTGTGCATTTCAGAATGAGGTCCTGGTAAACTCAAATTCTCAACTCTTCACTGATTCTTGCAAAAAAAAAACCTGTCAAGCTACAACTGAAGGAGAATTGTCACAAGCAATAAGTAGGGAATCTGAGAATTATATTGGAGGCTGGTCAGAAGATGGGACACTGTGAAGAAGTTGTAGATGGTGTGAATCATGAGTCCTAAAGAGGTATAAACACTAATAAATGTGGAAACAGCATTGGTTTCTGAACTAGGGAACCAATGGGAAAGACCTAAGTCCTTCCTGCTGAACAAGTATGTTAAGAAGCGTAAGACAAAGGGTGAAATTAGGATTCAAAGTCATCGTTTGGGATGAAGAGAAAACAAGGGAGTTATAGCAGGTGCAATTGAGGGAGGGACTGGCACGGAAGAGAAACCCCTGAGATTTGAACTTGAGGGTTAAAATTAGCTCACCTAGAGAAACACATCACCAGGAAAGAAAAACAGGAAATACCTGGAAACATTAAGTCCCTTACCCAGCAGTTTGCATTTCTGTAATCAGTTGTACCCTGCATACATTAAAAGAAAAAAGTACATATTCTTAGATACACTACTTTTTCCTGTTAAGAGATTTCTTTTTCATGTTGAGTTTAATAAATTCTCTTCTCCTGTCGAAGTAGTCTTAGGAAGTTTAGCAGTTGGTCTTGATATTTGCACAAATTCTCAAAGCAGAGATGATGATTTATGACTAATAGTACTGATCATTTCTTAAGCATCTACTAAATGCCAAACTGTCAGCTTTAAGTTTCACATACTCTATTTCTAATCCTCACAATATCCCTCTGAGAGATAAGGAATCGAAGCATTAGGGTTTAGATAATTACGCCTAAGCCCTTTCTCCTATGCGGGTCTACAGAATGCTCTCTGAAAAACTACCCTTGGCCATAGCTGCCTTACATTAGAACTTCCACAACCAGACTTCAAAACAGGAACAGAGGTACCAGGAAAGTTAAGCCTTTTTTCTGCAGAAACACACATGAGGGTCACTGGCAGGAAGGAGTCTGGTCATTTAAATCTGTATGAATATGTAGAATAAATCAAGAGAATAGAAAACTAGAGCTGATGGTTCAGGAGATGACTGGATTGTGAGATTCTGACCACTCTGCCCATTTTACCAATGGTTTGGGTCAGGGGTAGAGCCTTAGAGACAGACACTAGTTCTCAATGAAAATCATCAAATTATTCACTATGCAGTATTAAAGGCAGCTCTTGAATTTGAAATGAAGAGACATATTAAATTCATTTATTTTTCATGCACTCAGAGTAAAATACTCAATAAGTCTCCCAAGTGGGACTTCCTAGGAGATGGAGGCATGCATGCAGTGGGGACATGAGGGTGCTGGAAAGAAATCAGATTAAATATGACTCAGAGAAAGAGTTCAAGCTACTCTCTAGTTTAATTTTTGGAGGCTAGTTGGGGATTTTATTCGTTGATTTTTATAATCAGTATCGTCCCCCCAGGATCCATTTGGAAATAAAGCTCTGGAACACATCGAAAAAGAAATTGATCCAGACCATCCAAAAGTAAGTCAGTTTGAGTTGTTAATATCCCCTAGGGTCTAAATTGAAGTGCATTTTTTGAAAGCTTGAGATTTTCCACCTCTCTCTATCAGAGTTTATACTTTTTAAGGGAAGCACAATTGACCAATCATGGAATGAACAATTAGGAAATTCCTGTTCTGCCAGTTTCTTGAAAGTTTAATGATTTACCTTTGGGCCTTCATTCAATAGATGATGAAGTTCAGGAGATTGAAAAATAGATTTTATGGTAGTCAAAAATATAATCCTGATAGACTGTGGTGGAGGACTGTGGGTGCCTTGGTGTAGTGTGGTAACATACACCTGAAGATGTGTGATCTTATATCTCTAAATCATGTATGGTGTTGCATTCCAGTGTTGCCTCAGTAAAAATATATATACATATTTAATTGTATTATTTTACATATACATATATGTGTGTATGTGTGTGTGTATGTGTGTGTGTGTGTGTGTATATATATATATATATATATATATATATATGATCCAAAGATGTACATATTGAACATACATGTTTTGGTATCACTTGAGTCTTTGGATAAAATAAGCTATCTTTTAAACTCTCCTGCTAGTCCTAAGATTCTCTGATTTTTCTGAAGTTAAGGAAATTTACTGCAAGCTAAGGTCTCCTGAGTCCTAAGCCTGAGTCAGATCTGACCTAATGCCTAGTTATTTGGGAAAGAGACTTAACACTAAGCAGTTCAGATTTTTAATTTACTAACCCTCCCTCCTCTAGATCATATGCCCTGGATCAGTTAATATTTTTCCAAGAAATCTAAATTAGTTTCTACTCTGGCAAATAAAAGCAATTCAGTAATGAGAATCTACTTACCTAAATTCTGTGAGATATGGTATATGGCATAAGTGCCTTTCTGTAGGAGGTAGAGTGTTGTGAGTGGAGGGGGAGATGTGATATGTAACTAACAAATTAGTGTCAATGCTAAAATAAGTAATAATAACATAAATGTGACCGGAAAATTCCAATATTGTATCTTATGAACTTTTTCAAAACATTCACAAGTCAAATATCTGAATTGCTCTCATCTTGCCAGTCATCGAGAGGGTGGGGGGAAAAAAAAAACTGCAATCAAGTGGGGCTTCCCAAAGTCCAAGTTGTTTCTCTCAGGCCCAGCACCACAAATGCTGAACTTAAAACCATTCTGTGCACCTTTGCCAAATGTTTTTTAGTGTTCTGGCATATACTCTGCAACACTTGACAGTCACAATATTGTAACAAGCATTTCCCTTTTCTGCCCTCCTCTGCCTTTTAAATGTTTTTAGATACCATTTTGAGGTCAATTTTTTTCTAGAGTTTTTGTAGACATAAGGACTACAAGTGCAACTCTTATGGCAATTCAGCTAAACCCCAAAGATCAGCCAATATTTATCTTCAGTTTAACAATGAGAAAGTAAAACTGCTTGCTAGAAATGTGTACAATTCCAGTCGCATCAATAAATTAACTGATTTTAACTGAGGGGAAAATGGAAAAACTGAGACATCTGAGATTGGCTTTTTATCTTGGAGACACTTAAGATTCCTGAAATTAAAATTGATTTTATTAATCTTTGGCAAATTGAAAATGTCACAAATATGAGAGAGCATTATATTTATCCCCTTAAAATTAAGTATGCTTAAGCTTGCATGCTTAGTTGTTTCTATGACGAAGTCATTTGTACTGATTTATATTTCCAGATAAATATTAAATAAAATATTTTAAATAGCAAAATATAAAAATTTTTAAGCAAAGCAATATTGTAGGCTATCTGAAACCTCAGACTACCTGTATAATCCTATATATGATTTGGTACATATCACATCTATATTATCAGCTATAATGACTATATGATTGATCTGCCCATTTTGACTCAGGCATTTTCATTATTTGACCCTCTGTATGTTTTCCACATAATTTGCAACTTCATCTTGCCTTATTTCCTCTCCATCCCAAACTTTCCAGCAGACTTTTTTTCCTTTGCATCAGGAAAAGTCTTTACGTGGAAGCAGGTGAAAATTCTAGGGAATGTTGGTCAACTAACATTTGATAAGGAAGCCAATAATATTTAATGGAAAAAAGACAGTATTTTCAATTATCAGTGCTGGAAAAATTGTATAGTCAAGACCTTAAGCCATAAAACTCCTAGAAGAAAACATAGGCAGTAAACTCCTTGGCCTTTATCTTGGCAATAATTTTTTTGATATGATACCTAAAGCACGTGGAACAAAATAAAAAATAAATAGTGAGACTGGATCAAACTAAAAGGCTTTCTGCACAGCAGAAGAAGGAGTCAACAAAATGAACAACTTAAAGAATGGGAAATATATTTGCAAATCATATATCTGATAAGAGGTTAATATGCAGAATGTTTAAAAAAAACCATATAACTGAGGTCTCCCTGGTGGCAGGGGTTAAAGACACAGCACTATCAAGCTATCACCAGCCACTGCAACATGAGTTCTATCCCTGGCCAGGGAGATAACTAACCCACATGGTGAAGCAGACCTCTCTTGTCTCACCCACTGCTCCCCTCAGCAGTGTATTTCAGTAGGGCTGCCTGTTCTGCTCCCCACTCTCTCTGGTGAATCCTGTCACCACCCCCCACCCCTCTGGCCTACACCCCAGTTCTTGTATGCAAAAATAAATAAATCTTTAAAAAATATATAACTCAGCCGCAACAACAAAAAAAGCTAATAATCCACTTAAAAATGGGCATTTGACCCAAATAGACATTCTTCCAAAAAGATATAAGGGTGGCCCCGACAGGTACCTGAAAAGATCACTAATTAGGAAAACTATGTGCAAATCAAAATGAGATGTCACCTCATACCTGTGAGAATAACTCGTCAAAAGGACAAGAGATATCAAATGTTGGTGATGATGTAGATAAAAGAGAATCATTGGGCACTGTTGTGGGAATATAAATTGGCACTGCCACTATAGAAAACATTATGGAGGTTCCTCAAAAAATTAAAAAATAGAACTACCATATGATCCAGTAATTATACTTCTGTGAGTATACCAAAAGGAAATAACAACACTATGGTGAAGAAATGTCTGCACCCCCATATTCATAGCAGCATTATATATAATAGCCAAGACATGGATATAACCTAGGTATTCAGTCATGAAGAAGAAAATCCTTTTATTTGTGACAACAGGTATGTATCTTGAGCACACTATGCTAAGATAAATAAATTGGACAGAAAATACTATATGATCTCACATGTAGAGCCTAAAAGAAAACACAAAACGTATAGAAAAAGAAAAATTATAGAAAATTTTGATGTTTACAAAAGGAGGTGGTAGTGGGGGTAGGAGAAATTGGATGATGGTGGTCAAGAGGTGTACAACTTCCAGTTACATGAGAAATAACTACTAGGGATGTAATGTACATAGTGACTATAACTAACATTGCTGCGTGTTACATATGAAAGTTTGTTACGAGAATAAATCCTAAGATCACAAAGGGGAAAAAATTATATTTATATGAAATGATGGATATTAAGTATACTTATAGTGGTAATCATTTCACAATATATTTAAATGAAATCATGCCATACACCTTAAATTTATAGGATTGTGTTAATTTTATTTCAATAAAACTGGAAAAAATACTAGGGAAAAAAAGAAGAGATGAAATCCAAAGCAAGGAGAAAAATATAGATTGAAAATGGAAATAAAATAGAAAAACAAAATATAAGTTGGTGTTTAGACATCCTTGTGCATAGCAGTGTTATTCCCATTAGCCAAAAGTAGAACAACCCATCTGTCCCCTGATGAATGAAAAGATAAACAAAACGTAGGTCAATTGATGATACACAGACAAGTGCTAGACCAAAAACAACAAGCAGTCAATAAGAATGGGCAAAGAACCATACAATCTAGTAAGAACTGATTATAGTGTTTAAATAATTGTAATTGGTATTCTTATGGCCTAAGACTAAGTTCCCATTTTATTTATACTTTTCTTGATATTTGTTTAATTAAAATACAAGAAAGACAAATAGTTGTAATTGTAATGAACATACTTACCTACATATCTCAAAGTTTTTAATCGGAGAAGACAACCACGAAAATTCAAGCGCAAAACATTTAGACGCCGCTTTTGCAAAGTAGATACTATGTATTTATCTGTGATCATATTTTTTACTGTGGAAAAATCAATCTAAGAAGGACAAAAGACATTAAGAAATGAGAGAGATCTTTTTGCATGTAAAATGTTTTAATAGTTTTAAAGCATCAGGACCAAAATTTTATCACTTCATTTGTTTTGTTTTTGTTTGTTTCATGATCATTCTCAGGTTTAATTTTAAACAGATTTGAAATGCCCAGTCCATGTGAGCACTGGGCGATGGGGGCCTTCATAGCCATATCCCACCCGGGTGAGTTGTCTTACAACATGCCTAGATGCCCACCCCCATTCTAGGTGAGCCCCAACGTTACCCCCAACTCAATGTCAATGAACTCATCGTAGGTCCATTATTAATGTGCACCCGTTTCTTTTCATGAGCATAGACTATATGTTGATTTCTTAACTATAGGGAAGATAATTTAAATTGCTTGGTTATAATAGTCTCTTCATAACTTATAATTTAGAGGAGTTACTTGTAGAAAAAAAAAAGGAAGAATGATCTGAATCTCCCTGGCCAGTTGTATGTAAAATTGTACTGTCTGGACATTTATGCAGCTCTGGGTAGCCAGGGCTGGTTGATAAACAATAACATCGGTATCATGGTATTAACAGTATTTTCAGTTAAAAGGTTAATTTTATGAACATCCAGTTTCTCACTACCTTATAAACAAAGCTATTCTTTGTGCTAAAATGTTCTTCAGTTGTGCCACATTTGAACATTCACAAATGAAGCCAAAATAATTGAATATGAAGGCCAATATACTATATATTATGGAAACAGAAATTTGTTGGACATAGAAACTTTAACTTCCTATCCTGGCTTTGTTCTTCACTGCCATGTGCTCATATTTTCTCCATCTTTACCCAATGAAGTCTCTGTGCAAAAGTGCTGACTTTTTCTGCCCAGCTGCTGCAGGATTTGTCCTGATCATAATATTATACATATTCTTTCTCTTTCAGACCATTTGGATTCTTTTTTTTTTCCTTCTTTGTGGGTTTTCTAAAGGAAAAAGTAACATCCCCAATCTGTCACATAAGTAAGATATTTATTTATTTTTAAAGATTTATTTATTTATTTATACAAGCACTGGGTACAGACAGAAGCGAGGGAGGGTAAGAGAATTCACCAGAGCCAGAGCGGGGACCAGAACAGGCAGAAGGACTGAAGTACACTGCTGAGGGGAGCAGTGGGCGCAGCAGGAGAGGTCTGCGAGCCATGTGGGACCCTTGCCGGGCGGCCAGCCAGGAATCAAACCGGCACTGCAGCAGCTGCGGGCAGCTTCACAGCCCAGTGCTCAACCACTGCGCCACCGGGGAGGCCCTTAAGTAAGATATTTATTAATTTAAACCAGTAGTTCTCAAAGTGTGATCCTGGGACCAGTAGCATCAGCATCACCCAGGCACTTGTTGGAATACAAATTCTTAAGTCCCTCCCAGACCTCCTGGGTCAGAAACTGGTGCTGGCAATCAGAAATCCCTTGAGATGACTCTAATACATGCCAAAGTGTGAGAATCACTGCCTTAAACTAAAAGTAAACATAAGAAAGGAATACACAATTTATTACCTAAGATAAGTTAGCTAAGTCAGAAGCACATTTTCTTCTTGCCTTTGTGCACAAGGTGAGAGCAGAACAACTCAACCAAGAATGGGGCAGTGCCTGATGAGATGTAAAGGTATTGAGTTGACTTAGGAAACTAGAGCCCCTCACACTTTGTGATTCCTCTTTGTTTCTTTGTGTAAGTTTTAGAGTTTTTACAGAATATCCCAGCCATCTACTCATAGGTCAGTCTGGACATGTGATATAATCACCCAATCATTAGAAAATAAGGAGCAGTGGAAAATGAAGTCAGTTATTGACTGGGTTTTGGAATAACTGAAAATGTTGCCACTGCAACATTGGTTGATGGCATAAGTGGTCATAATTGTTGAGATTAAAGTATCAACCAAGAAACAGCAAAGCGAAATCTTCAGGGATAATATATACCGACCTTTGGTTGTTATCTGAGATCTCTTCCTAATGTCCCTTGGTAGTGAGAAACTGGGAGTGTTCTAGATTACAAGAATAGTACAAAAATAGTACCTTGACAAGAATAGCACAAAGGTACTGTAAGGTACCTGTAAGTTTGTGTCAGGAAATACGTGCGTGTGTCCATGTGCCAGCAAGCACACTAGGAATAACAATAAGCTTTGTTTGCATGTTATGTATTTTACCTCTATTTCATGCTCAGTTGTTTTTTTCTTTATTCCATATCTTGTGCTGCTTGGGTATGTTTTTTGAACTAATAATAGTAGCTAATATTTATTGAATGCTGACTACATGACAGATTCTACACTAAGCACTCTATTTAGATTTTCTCAATTTATCTCCACAATATCCTTGGTTTGGCACTGTTAAACCAAAACAGATATTAATGGGGCTTTATTTCAATCCAAAAATAATATTCAATTTATTTATACCATCTAAAGTAGAAAATACTAATAATGTCCCTCTTAAAATAACATTATTATCTTTGTATGACATTCTTCAAGCTCATGTCCGGACAAAGAGAAAAGCAAATGTTTTTACTGTTGTTAAAAGCAAGAAATAAAATAGTCTCTGCTACCATTGGCTTTATAGCAATCCATTCTCCTTTAAGAATTAGAATAAAGACATAACTTTAGGTAGTGTCTACTTACACTATTCCACAATGAACTTATTTGTGTCATCCACATCCAGGAGTGATTAACCTGACCACATATTACTACATCTCTTAAACTCAGATAGAAGAAAATCTAAACACAAAGAAAAGAGATCTGTAACTATGAAAATATGTGAATTCTAATGTAACTCTTCTATTTACCTTTGTTATGTGTTCATAATGATAAAACAAATCATACATTGTGGTAACAGGGAGATAAGTGCTGGAGTTTTATCTGAAGATAAGACTTTTATCTTAAGTACTGTAACTTATCTGAAGATACCTTTGAAATAGTATAATCTCTTTCTTTCATAGTTACAAAAAATGGTGAGAAATATAGGTAAATAATTTTTTTTTTTAAAGAACATGGCATTCTGCTAGAAAATGAGTGATTTCCATAATAGTAGCTGGCATAGAGAAGGTATCAGTAATTACTTGCTGAACAGAATTCTTTCTGAAGTTAGGATTCCTGGGAAAGATCAATAAACTCACCTGGTTTCTATTTCTGAAAAAAAGGATAGACTAGAAAATCTGGAAATCCTCTTGATGCAAACGTCCATAAATGCTAAAACAATTTTTTTTTACTTTTCAAATTTATTTTTAAATTTTTAAATTTCAGATTTATTGAGGTATAAGTGACACATAAAATTGTAACAGTTAAAGTGCACATCTTGGTGATTTATATATTTATATATATATATATACACAATGTAATATACATATACAATGTAAAAGGATTTCCCCTATCAGTTAATTAACATATCCATTTCCTCACAAATTTATAAAATTTTTTCTTTTTTTGTGAAAACATTTAAGTTCTACTCTTTTAGCAAATTTCAATTATGCAATACAATTGTTATTAACTATAGTTACTTTATTTTATTGTACATTATCTGCCCAGACCTTATTTATCTTATAGGTGAAAATTTGTATCCTTTTTACCAACCTCTACCTGTCGATATTTGCCTTTCCACCAGGCACTAACAACCATTTGTACTCTATAAATATAGCAAACATTTTTTGAAAATAACTCAGTTTTCAAGAAAGTAAGAAAAATATCTAGAGCCCTAATCTTTACAAACTCAGATTCATAACATAATGTTTATGCTATAGTTGTTCAAGATTGAGGAGCAGTGGGGATGTTTGCTGCTTTTAATAACAAATAGATTCAGGTTTTACTAGCTACACGGGACCAGAAAAAATCACCAGGCTTGTGCAAGGTCGAAGTCATACCTGAAAGACAAATATGGGGGGAGTGGAGGAGTGAAGCAAAGGCCAGGATTGTGAAAGAGAGAGATTAAAAATATAGTTACCTATTGACAAGAGAAAAACTAAAATACTTAGCATGGGATAAGAATAAAATCTTCCAAAAAAAAAAAATTGTAACCATAAACCAGCTATCATGTGGATTGGGGTTTGAAATTTAATTATTTGTGAAACCCACCTTGAAGTTATTACCTTTATATTTGAATTTGATGTATTAACATGCAATGAGCTTCCAAGTTTGCAGTAACTCTAAGACATTTGGCAGAAACAGATACCTTCTCTCAGAAGAGAAACATCTTCAAGTTAAGTCTTACAGGTTTAGGATTCCCAGAGACTAACCTCAACAAAATGAACTCTTGATAAAAATTTTAAAACACATGAAGGGGAGAAATCCAGTAAGAGTCAGAAGCAAAAAACAACTTCATTAATTATTTGATAGTGATTATAAAAAGAATAAGATCATAAAGACATAAAAAGGAAAAAAGTCAAAAAAGAACTAAGCAGATTTATGAAGGAAAAAAGTAAAATTTATGGGAATTAAAACTATGACTGAAATTAACTCAGCGGATGAAACCAACTGATAGAAGAATTAGCAAACTGTAATATGTGTCAGAAGAAATTACAGAGGATAAGGCTTAAAGAGAGAGAAAAGATAAAGGGGGCTAAGAGACACATTGGTTAACATAAAAAGGCCCAATGTGATTACATTGGACCCACACAGATAATCAGGATAATCTCACCAACTCAAGATTGTTAACCCAATCACATCTGAAAGACTTTTTTTTTTTTTTTTTTAAGATTTGTTTATTTTTTTATACAAGAATCCGGGTACAGGCCAGATGTGCGGGAGGGTGAGAGAATTCACCAGAGACAGAGCAGGGAACAGAACAGGCAGTTTGACGAAGTACACTGCTGAGGGGATCAGCGGCCGAGACATGAGGGGTCTGCCGCGCCATGTGGGACCCTCGCAGGCCGGCTGGATCGAACCGGTGCCACAGAGTCTGTGGACAGCTTCACAGTGCAGTGCTCAACCGCCTGCGCCACCAGGGGAGGCCCTGAAAGACTCTTTTGATACATAAGGTAATAATTCACAGGTCCTGAGGATTAGGACATGGATATGTTTTGGGGGTCCATTATGCTGCCTGCTGCTCTGTGTAAGGAAATGATAAACACTAAATTAAGAGAGTATTTGCTTCTGAGGGAGTGCAGTTAGTGCAGTCAAGGAGACTTTCATTTGTTAAGCTTTATTTAAGCTAGGTGGTGATTATACAAGTTTTCATTATATTTCTTGCATAGCTAAAGTAGTTTATTTTAACAACCCCACTTTTGAACAAAAACCTGAGAATATATTTAAGGAAGTGAGAGTCTAATACAGTGAAAACTACAGAGTACTACTGACAGAAGTTAAAGACCCCCAAAAATGGAAGGACATTCAGTGTTCATGGATGGAGGACAGAGTAACAATAACAATAAAAGGTATTGAATCAGAATTTAAAATCCACCTGTAGGGCCTCCCCGGTAGCGCAGCGGGTTGAGCTCTGCGCTGTAAAGCTGTCTGCACCCTCTGCACGTGGGTTCGATTCCCAGCTGGCCAGGGAGAAACCCATATGGCGAGAGACCTCTCCTGTCTTGCCCGCTGTTCCCCTCAGCAGTGTCCTTGGTCCATCTGCCTGTTCTACTCCCTGCTCTGTTTCTGGTGAATTCTCTCACCCTCCCACGTCTCTGACTGTACCCCAGTTCTTGTATTAAAAAAATAAACTTTAAAAAAAACTTTTATAGTTTTTTGTCACTATAAAAAACAAATAGCAGTTCATATCAGTCTATCTCCATAATACAAATTAGAGAGATTAATTATAGGTCATGTGTTACATAGTGTCTTAGGCTGGCTTAAACAAGACATTTATTTCTCACAGTTCTGGAGTCTGGGAAATCCCAAGATCAAGGTACTGGCATATTTAGTTCTTGGTGATGGTTCTCTTCCTGGCTTGCAGGAGACTGCCTCATTTCTGTGTCCACATATAGTAAAGAGAGAAAACTCTAGTACTCTCTTCCCTTTCTTCTTAAGAACATTAATGCCATTATAAGGTCTCCACCCTCATGACCTCATTTAAACCCAATTACCTCCTCAAGTCCCCCCTTCTTTAAATTATCTCATTGGGGATTAAAACTTCAACATATGAGTTTGTTGGGGGCACAGATACTCAGTTCATAACACATAGTTATCCTCAACTGGGATTCATTCTTTAGTATTCCACATTTAAGATTTATTTCCCTACATAATTTCCATAGAAACTTTACCCCATTGTAGGATAGTACATTATTCTTGCCTGCTTGCGATTCTGCCTAGAATAGAATGAGCTTATTTATTAAAAAAAAAAAATCACAAAGCTTTCAGTGTAAAATTCAATCCTCACCATATAAACTGTATTTTGAATATTTTCCCAAATGCTCAAAAAGATATTTATTGGATAATTTCCAATCATAAACTACTTGACAGTATGTAATGATGATTTCCTTCACTTTGCTGACAATTCCCCTAGGAGATATTTGTGTTGAAATTCTGAAAATACCATTATTTGATGGCAAAATGTGTCCAAATGTAAACCTCTGTTCTTTAATGAAATCATTCTTTCAACCACAAAATCGAAATGGAAATTTGACTAATACAAAGTCAAACATTTTCTGTTGCTTGTTTAAACTAACTATTCCTTTTTTCATAATATCTAATGTCAAAAAATATAACAACACTCAACTTTTTAAACACAGAGGAAAATTTAACCACATCCCATGAGAAATAGAACTTCCAGGAGTATACTTAACAATTAAACAATCTGCTACCATGGCTAAATTGCATGGTCTATTTAAACAATCTTTCAAAATACTAAGGATACAACATCAAGACTATTAGTAACAATTTTCTTATTTGCCTACCAAGAGTAAGACATTTTGTAGAAGTTATTTTTGTTTTTAATGCAGTATTTATGATATACAAAGTGGTGGATAGTCTAAAATGTTAACCAATATGAGTTTCTTGTGTATGTAGACTCTTAAGGGGAAAATGATAATGTCTGAGTTTTTCAACCTGCATTTTTTTTCTTGTTTCTCTTTACACTTATTCTCAAAGAAGATGTATCCTCTTTAGAGGACACTTTACTTAAAATTGTATTATTTCTCAAATGCCACTAAAAGCGAAAATACTGTTTTGGATATAAGTTAAATGTGAGTCTAAGCCATGGTGGTTCTAGTCTAGCATTCAAAATTTGGATCCAAGAAACATACAGACCAATATTTCATAAGTGTTCATTAAAATATTTTAAGATAAAACAATTTATAGGGGATAAAAGATTATGTTATGAAACAAATTCAGGAAGTTTTCATCAAAAGAAAGTAAAACATGTAACATTTTAGCATCTAGAGAAAGAAATTAATAATCTACACAAATCCATTAAACTGACTTAGCAAATATTACCCTTTTAGAAACTATATTAAAAACTTTTTCTTAAACTAATTCAACTAATCAATCAGTTCAGTAAAGTGGCAGGATACAAAATCAAAACGCAAAAGTCAGTAGCCTTCCTATACACAAACAATAAATCCGAAGAAGAAGAAATCAAGAAAAAAATCCCTTTTATTATAGAAACAAAAAAAATCAAATACTTGGGAATAAATCTAACAAAAGAGGTAAAGAACCTATACAAAGAAAACTATAAAACACTGTTAAAAGAAATAGAAGAAGACACGAAGAAATGGAAAGACATCCCCTGCTCATGGATTGGAAGAATAAACATTATTAAAATGGCCATCCTACCAAAAGCAATATACAGATTC